TGGGTGGTCCGGTGACAAGTAAGCAGTCTTGTGAGTTTGAATGAAAGGGAATTCCAACGATTTTAGGTGTAGTGTAATTTGATTATAATTTTTAGGGCAGTTTGATCTATTTAAGCGTGTTTATTTTTGCTATAATTGATAGTTTTTATAAAAAAACTGACATTTATGAAATTATAGGGTAAATATTGGTTTGAGAAATTCCCCTAACAAATGGTGCGTAAGAAGTAAAAAATTGTGTGAAACAAGTAAAAGAGATGTGTAAATAGCACATCCCTATGTTATTGGTTAATTCCTAGCGTGGGGATGGGCCTTGCGGTGAAACGACGTCGCTAGTTAGAAATTAAATAATTTTAGGAATTTGTTAATAAACGTCAAAATTTTATAGTAAGCTCCAAGAGAATTCCATGTGATCTAATATCCAAGTGTGTAGAGTGTTTTGTGCATCTCGAGTTCGAAATTCACTCCCCTTTCAAAGAGTTTTCACAAAACTTAATGAGTCTTGCATATTTATATTTGATCTGAATATCACAGACGGATTGCATGTTAGATATATGTTTTCGTTTGAACATCACGCATAAAATATGCATTAGGAAAACCTAACCTTCAAAGCATGTATATGGAAATTTATAAGTAATTGGTAGAATTGCATATGATTGTTAACAGTGACGGGTAAAAACCTAGTCTTTCCAATAATTATTTTAATTTTAAAAACGCTTTCTTCTTTGCTGCCATTATTTCCAAACTTTTATATTTCTTTTTATTGTTAATTAATCTTTTAAGATTCAAAAATCTCAAATCTTTGATAAAAATTTGTTTTGATAATCAATTAAGAGTTGTTAATTACACAAATTAATCAACCAATCCTTGTGGAGAACGATTTTGCATGTGTGATTATACTACAATTACCTTGAACTCTTGCAAGTATTTTCAGTGATTTTAACCCTAATTTTACAAGTACTAAAAATCCTATCAACCTCCAATTTCAAAGATCATAAATTTGCAGGTGTAACGACCAAAAATAGTTTCTTGGAGCATTTTGTCTGTCTCTGGTTTCAAGTTCATGATACTCCATCCGTTTGGAAAGGTTCTTGGAAACAATGTTTTTTTGGAGGGGTAAATTTTTGACACTGGAGGATCAGTGGCTTTTGATGTCGAGAAGGGCACAATTTTAGTGGTCGATTTGCCGGACGGGAGTGCGGGCATCAATAGCTTAATGGTGGGCAACGTGGGGGAGTCACTTTTTGCTTGCCAGTTTGATCAATGGATCAATTTGTTAAGAATTTGGAGATTAGAAGGAGATGGTGATGATAATCCATGGGAATGGACTATCGTTGCCCAATGATATAGGACAGATTACGAGACTTTCTTAAAATTAAAAATTAGAGGTTCTGGGTTTGAAACCCGGTGCTGGTGTGGAAGCCAGACTTGTGGCCAAGGGAAGGCTGAAATGTTTCTATGAGTCTTTCCGGCCCTCAGAAGGGGTAGACAACTATGATTTGCCACCAGTTGTCCCGATTTTTAAAAGAATAAAAATATTGGGTAATGGCCATTTGGACTAAACATCTTTACTTTATTTAATTAAGGTGCTAAGATATCTCGTGGCCAAAATCCCTAAGAAAAAAAAGAGAGTGCATTTGTTCCTGGAAGAAATATTGTTGACAACATTCTTAGGCCATCTCTAATCGATGGCTCGTTTTAGCCCTCTGGCCCTCCAAGATTCCCCAAGATATTAATATTTTAATTAACAGTACATTGCCATATTGGCCTCCGTCTCCAACCGAGGGCCAAAGGGCCAGAGGGCTCGTTTTAGCCCTGTCACAAAAACCGTCTCCAACCGAGGCCAAAGGGCCATAGGGCCAAACATAATTTATTATTTAAAAACTACAATTTAAATTCAAATCTAACGGCTAAGTGACGTCAACATGATGTCAGCTAGCCGTTGGTAGCTGACATCATGCTGACGTCTGCTAGCCGTTGGATTTGAATTTTTTTTTGCTATAAATAGGGTGGATATTGGGCTATAATTCACACAACTTTAAATTCAATCTATTTCAATTCAATCTCTTGCAATTCAATCTCTTGCAATTCAATCTCTTTCAATTCAAGTTTGCAATGAATTCCAACTTTGGATCTTCATCCAATTCCAATTGGGGGTCCTCATCCAATTCCAAATTGGAAGCAAAATGGGCGCAAATGAGACGAGAAGATGAGGAGTCTGATGAAGAAGTTCAAGTAAGGCGCAACAAATAAAACATGGCAGCAGCAATGGCTGCGGCCATGATGTGTCAGCCAACTGAGGAACAACCTCAATGGGGTGGCTCTGTTGCTGGTCGCTCTTACAAACCACAAAACAGAGCGATGGCGCATGCCAATCTGATGAACAACTACTTCAACCCCAACTCAGTGTACATAGAAGAGGATTTCAGACGTCACTTCCGGATGAGGCGTCATGTCTTCGAGCGTTTACTTCGTGATGTCCAGCAGGTCAATCCATACTTTCGACAGAAGCAAGACAGAGCAGGCCGCCCTGGTTTCTCACCTCATCAGAAGGTTATTGTTGCACTCCGAATGATGGCATATGGCTCCTCAGCTGATTCGATGGATGAAACCCATGGTATGTCTGAGTCTACATGCCTTAATACTCTTGAAGAATTTTGTAACACAATTGTTCAGGTTTACAAGACGAGTACCTCCGAGAGCCAAATCAAGAAGATCTGAATCGGCTCCTTCACAAAGCTGAAGACCGTGGGTTTCCGGGCATGATAGGGTCATTAGACTGCATGCATTGGGATTGGAAGAACTGTCCCACTGGATGGCAAGGAGGCTTTAGCGGAAGGTCGAGAAAGCCAACTGTTGTGTTAGAGGCAGTTGCCTCATATGACACATGGATCTGGCATGCTTTCTTTGGAGTCCCTGGATCCCAAAATGACATTACAGTTCTTGGGCGTTCACCCCTCTTCAATAACTTGACGGAAGGTAAAACACCTCAACTTGACTACTACATCAACGGCCATGAATACAATATGGGGTATTACTTGGCAGATGGCATCTACCCAAAGTGGGCGACACTTGTCCAAGCAATTCCAAAACCTAGGAATGATGCAGAAAAGTTGTTTACCTTACACCAAGAGGCATACCGGAAAGATGTTGAGAGAGCTTTCGGTATTCTACAAGCACGGTGGAAGATTACCAGCAAACCGGCAAGAGGGTGGAGTCGAGAAAATTTGAACTCCATCATGATGTCTTGCATCATATTACACAATATGATAGTGGAGGATGAGCGAGATGGGTATATTGATGGAGAGTCCGATGATGACCAAGAAGATCCAAATAGGTCAAGAAGGGCTCTAGCAAAAATATATGATGGGCCTAATTTGCCTTTCAATCCAAGAACTGGTAGTATCTCTATAAATGAGTATATGAGGCGCTATAGAATGATACGTTCTCGTGCCACAAATAAGTACCTACAACAGGATCTTGTTGCACATCTTTGGGCCAAAAAAAGCATGGAGTAGGCTTTTAAGTTTTATGTTGTTAAATGTTTTTAAAAATGTTGTTTAAGTTTCATGTTGTTAAATGTTTTTTTATGTTGTATAATTTGTATGTTGGTTAATGTTATTTAATGTTGTTTCATATTGTTTAATGTTGTTTCATGTTACTTAATTTAATTTAATGTTGTATAAATGGCCTAGGAAGTTATAGGAAAAAAATAGAATTGAAAAAAAATATGAAACAAATTTTGTGAAATAGAAGTTATAGGAAAAAAAATGGAATTTAAAAATATGAAACAAATTTTGTAAAATAGAAGTTATATGAAAAAAAAATTGAAACAAATTTTGTGAAATAAAAGTTATAGGAAAAAAAATAGAATTTAAAAAAAAATATGAAACAAATTTTGTAAAATAGAAGTTATAGGAAAAAAAATAGAATTTAAAAAAAAATTGAAACAAATTTTGTAAATTAGAATTGAAACAAAATTTGATTCATATGAAAAGGAAAAAAAAGGGAAAAAAAGAAGTTTAAATTCATAAAAAAAAAAAAAAAGTTAATACAACGGCTACTAGCCGTTATATTCAAAAAAATTCAAACTATTAGTGTCGGTTATAACCGACACTAATAGTAATTAAAAATAAAAATTTTGCTTTTGAATAACTATTACTGTCGGTTATAACCGACAGTATTAAAAAATTCTTCTTTAATGTTGTCGGTTATAACTGACAGCAATAGAAAAACATTAAAAAAAAAAAATAGCCAGCCCTCTTTGATCCCGTAGGGCCCTCCCAGATTCTAGAGCCCTCTGGCCTAGCCCTTGGTTGGAGACGGTTTTAGGGCTATTTTCGGCCCTCTGGCCCTCAGAACCCTTCGGTTAGAGATGGCTTTATTGCGCACAAGCTTTCTCGGATTTTAAGCAGGAAAAAGGTCGCACCAGAGCTATGGCAATCAAGACTGAAGCTTGTTTGAACAAATCTGGCTTTTATGAGTATTGGATTACGTTGTTTGTGTCCGATGTAGGCTCATTTCTCCACTCTAGAGGAATTTATTCGTACTCTGCACGGAACCTACATTACCATGGCAATGTATCCGAAATCTAAACAACTTTTACTTAAAGTCGAGAGAATAAACGTGCTAGAAACCTCGTGCCGAAAATTTGGAGTTGGTGAAACAGCGCCACGCTTGTTAAACTTGCTAGAAACCTCCGCATTGGGAGTTGATAACGCCGAGAGGAGGGGCCCTAGAGATCTTGTTTGACAGAAATGCGGATGGAAGGAACAAACATGCCATATTGTGTTTACCAAGGCACCAAATATACGTCATTTGACCAGTTGTATGGCTCAATCTGTAAACTGAACCAACGGAGTGACCTAAATATGATTTCACTGAAACGATAATGTTTGGCGTTGGTGAAACAACGAACGCGATCGAATAATGTTTTCTGCACTTCGGTTCATTCTTGCTCAAATGTACGGTCAGTATAATATCCTTGTAAGTTGGGGGCAGAATTAGAGAATAGAGATCATAACAAAAATGCCAGTAAGGGGTCTGCCTAGACAATATCCTGAGACTCAAGAAATTGGCAACAAGGATAGATTACAGAGATGGCAACTTCCACTACCTCACACTCACCGACTCACAGTGCATAATCTGATAGTTGAGCAAAACAAAACCCATCACTAATTAAAACCCACCAATGACGGTTCGCCACATCCACAAAATCAGTTCAACACTACAAATAAATAGGAATCCGATGGTGAAACAACGATCAAGAGCACAAAACGGAAATCATCATAAGATGGCAATCATGAACTTGACATACAAAAGTAGCAGAACCGCGGTTGGGAAATTGCCCAATGGATTGATCAGTGAGCAGGCATCAGAAGCAATCCCAGCAGGGCCACCTATAGGGGGCAATCCTGCTGGAAGCACCCCGGGTAACACTGAAGGTGACTTGGGTATCCCACCAATAGAACCATCTGACTCGGGAGCAGGTGCGGGTGCAAACATTGTGTCACGGATTACTGAGGTAGGTGGGGCTATAAGTGGTGGAAATTTCTGTGGACCTGCATAGCGTTTTGAAATAGAGTACTTGAGTAACAAATTAATCACAACCCAATTTCTGGCTCCATGAAACCTTTTTCTTTTCAGTTAAAGAAATCGCAATGAAAAAAGTGATCACTCTTCTATTTTCTGGTGTGATCTTATTTCAATTGAAAGTAATATACAATCTGCTTATATGCTTTATAACACCAGTTACTGTTTGACAACCAACTATTTATAATCGAGTCCCTAATTTGAAATCAGAATTTTATGGTACTATAAAGAAATCTATTAAAACATGACCCAAATTTTAACTAAGAAAACGGGCAAAACCCTTTTCGGTTTAAGGAAATAAGAGAACCAGTTTCACAGACACATTCATATTATATGTGATTTCCAAAAACCTAAAAGTGCAATCAATTTCTATAGTTTTGTTCCTTCTAATTAGCCAAGCAGCACAACAGATATTAGCATCTATAATTTTACCTGGGCAACGGGGCTGAAGAGATGTAGACAACCTGCAGAGGAGGACAAAATCAGATTGACATTAACGGAAATCCTACATTTCGAAACAGCTATAATAAGAGTAAAAAGGTAGAAGCATAAAGGATAACCATACGTTGAGACGATGCTTCCATTCACAAAACCACCATAGTTACAAGAAGTGACATTGCAACCACCACCACTCTGCTGAACTGTAACGTTCCCGACCATGAGGTTACTGTTTCTACATTGCATGCTCGAACATGAAACTGCTAATGAAGCAGGCTGGCAGTACAAACTGTAGAAAGTAACATGATTATGTGATTAATACTCAACCCGCAGGAGAAGTTGGAGAACATGTACATATAGAAGTAAACTCAATTACTTGAGACTCCCAGGCCCACAACTGCATTGCAAACAGTGGCTTGCTGTAATGGCATAGCTACCATTGGGCACGATCAAGCCATAGTCTTGAGCAGATTTAGGAAAGTTTGATGCACAAGCTGCACTCAAGACAAACAAAATTCAAACATTACCAACAGGCTATTAAATAAACAAAATTCAAACATTTCGGAATCTGCAAGTAATACACTATCAGCGCCCAAAGGAAGCAGAGGGGCATGTTTCACCACCTATCTGACTAACATTTTCAAAGGAACTCTTTTCCAAATCAATTTGCTCTTACTTTTGTTAAGATAATGCGGTGCTTAAGATTGATTTGTTTTCTGAGCATACTGCTTACATAAAGAAGACAGAAATCGAGCAACAGAGTATTCTCGAGGAAAGGTTGAAGATTTTCTACGAGAATTGTCTTGATATTTATATGGTGAATTAAGGACTTTGTAGTCAATTGTTTAAGTGAAACTTATACAGAATTACATTATATGATGGTTTCTTATTCGTTTCACTTGCGTATATTTCTAGTGCACCAGTATCGTCTCAGGTTGCATCTGCGAGAGAACCAACCATTTGATATACTTTAAAGACAAAAACTATATAACAGTATTGTCTTAACTATATAATGGTTTCTTAATCAATCTACTAAAACCTATAACACGAAAGTAGTTGAAATATTTTAAAGATGAAAACTATATCCAAATCTGCGTGAGAACCAACCATAAGAAGGGCCTCAAGGATTCACAGAAACGGTATAGCTATGGCAGTCAGCTAACTCAAAAATATAAAAAACGGTTATTGGTTTGAACTAATTAAAACCCATTAAAAGGCACAAACTTTATGAACTCCGATTCTCTACGGTGAAGAATGTTATAAAAAAACAAATGCAGCAACTGAAACCGAAAACAAAACAGCACAGTTAGAAACACTATATCACTCGCTAATTACTAATTAACAAAAGCATAATCAAATTAGCATACCAAAATTGAACATAGAAAAACACATTCCCATAATTAGCTTCAAATATCGAAACACTTGATAAGATAAGCAAAATTACAGATTACCTGGCAATGGCACTGCAAGTATATCAGCAGCCTTAATAGCTGTGTTCCCCATGGCATTCACATTCATCAAATCGGTGAGGGTAGTCGAGTACCGGGCGGCAATCCCCGCCAGTGTGTCCTCCGGGTTCACCACATAAGACAAGTAGATAGCCGGCAGCGAATTATCAGTCCCATTGAAACAAGTGCAGGGCAGAGGCACCACAAGGGTTTGCCCCACGTCGAGCACAGAAGGGTCCGAAATCGAATTGGCCTCCCGAATCTGGTCATCCGATACCAAGCCAGAGTACACCGAATCAGCAATGGAGGCCAGCGTGTCGGAAGACCGGGTCTTGTAGTGGGTAGACACTGACTTTCGAATCCCGTCGACGCAGGAGCAGATGATTGGGACTTTGAGGAAGAGCTGGGAGGGGAGGATGTGGTTTTCGACGTCGGGGTACGAAATGTCGATGGCATTGGCGGTGAGGAGAGCAATTGGGTCAACCTGGAAGAGGGAGGCGACCTCTGAGACCTTGAGCTCGGTGTAGACGGTGTAGCCGAGCAAGGCATTGCACGAGTCGGCGTTCGAGCAGGGCTCGATTGTCGACTTGGAGGTGACAAAAACAGCCACATTGGCTAGCTAGCAGAAAAACGGAGAATTGGGTTTTGCAAAAGGGTTTTTGAATCGCCATTTTTGGAAACTGTTTCTCGAAATAGGGGAAAATGGAAAGAGGGTTTATCTGTGGTTTAACAATGAAGTACAAAGGCTAGGTTTTTTGGGTTTGAAACTGGGAGAATTTCTGGGTTTTTAATGCTTTTTCTGCTTACCCAGCAGCTTCTATTCCTACCCAGCAGAAGAAACAGAAAGATGGGTTCTTTCTTTCAATGGCGGAAGCTGGAGAGCACAATGCTGGGTTTGGAGCTCAAAATTTTCAGGTTTTTTCAGGTTTCTAGATGGGTTTATGGATTCTGGCTTCTGGGTTTTTAGGGTTTTGATGATTTGATTCCTCTGGATCTTTGGAGAGAGAAAAAGTGAGGAGAGAGAGGGGGGAGAAAGGGAAAGTAGTTTTGAAAGCTAGAGAGAGAGAGAGAGAGAGAGCAGAAAATTGTTTTTGTATGTTGCATAGAGTGAAGTGTGCAGTGTGCAGACACCAGTCAGATTCTTGAGCTTGGGGACAACAACTTTTATGTTTGGACCAATTTGTCCTCGTCAAACATACCACTTCCCGCATATGTTTCCGTGTGGTGTTTGGTAATTTTCATCTTTCCTTTTTAGATTTATGGGCATCCAAGTGTACCCCACAGTCATGTACTGTAGGGTTTTGCTTTCAGACATGCGGGTGAGAATACCTGGTTTTCTTGCTGGGTTGGACCTGAATACTGTATATAATATCCTACGCGCATATTAGAGAGTGTCTCTCACGCTTTCTCTTCATTGGATGGAAGAGTCGTTCTCAATCCACGTGTTGCGACTTGCGTGTTTATATACTGAATTCTGAGACCTGGGACTTGAAAGTTCAGCCCGTGGGTCGCATCGCATGCACAACCCATATCATATGGGTCGCCCACTCGGAATTATTAAATTTTTAATTTAATTAAATAACGCTTTAACATGAACGTTGCCATCTATTGTTTGACGAGAAATGTTCAAAGTGAGATTTTGCATGTACTTTTTTTGCTTAATTTTTTATAACGTTGACTAAGTCTAGTAATTTCTGACACGATCCGATAATTTGACATAACACGAAATTAATAGGTGTTTAGGTCGACACGATAATAAATCGGGTTGTTATCGGGGTAACCCGATAAGCATCTGTTAAGATAACGGGTTGATTCGGTATACACGTGGGTAACACGATACACGATAAGCAGAATATTAATTTTATAATTTTATAACCCTAAAAAAATATTATAATAATTATATATATATATATATATTAATTTAACAATTTTATACCCCTAAAAACTAATATATATATATATATAATAATTATAATAATTATACCCCCAAACTATTAACTATAATAATTATAATAATTATATATAATAATTATATATACTATAATAATTATACCCCCAAAATTTTAACTATAATAATTATATATATATATATATTAAATTTTATAAAAACTATAATAATTATTAATTAATATGCATCCATTAATTCCCTAATTCTATTCCATTCATGCCGCACCCTTTGAAGAAAAAGGGAGGGAAAATGAAAATTATAAGAAAAGCTGAAAAGGAAACAAAAAAAAAAAGAGGGAAAGATGGGTAGGCTACTGCCATTTGAAGAAAAAGAAGAAAGGGAAAAATGAAAATTATAAGAAAAGTTGAAAATGAAACAAAAAAGAGAGGGAAAAATTTAAATTAATAAAAGTGGTGAGAAATTTTATTTTTTTTAAGTTATTAACTTTTTATCACACATATGACATATCCCACTATATTTATAATGACACGTGATGTACTACTCCGTGTACCGGTCAATTATACGTACAAAATAAATATATTTAAATCTACTTAATAAATAAATAATATATATATATATATACACACACCATTGAACCTGATGGGATACGAATTATACAAAACTAATTTCAACGATCCAACCGTCAAACTTGTTTGTATGTGCTTCGAGATCGTATCAGCAAAAAATCGCAAAAAACAAACATTTAGAGATCAAGTAACCGAACAAAACTTTTTGATCGTTATAAAAAGAAAAATCACGATTTAACGGTTATTTTAACTTCGATTTTGATTATTTTTTATAGCTACATTCCTTAATCTTATATGAATACAATGAATGAATTCGATCTTCAATTTAAAATATTTACACTAGTGGATACCACAAAATCTTATGTTATACTTAATGAAAGTATGAATAAACTCTTAAGTATTAGTGAATCTATTGTTTTGATGGGATACTCATTCTACGAAACTAGTTTCAATGATCCAACCATCAAACATGTTTGTATATACTTCGAGATCGCATATGCCAAAAATTGCAAAAAACAAACATTCAGAGATAAAGTAATGGGATAAAAAATTTCGATGGTTATAAACGAAAAATCACGATTTAACGGTTATTTTAACTACGATTTTGATGATTTTTTACAACTACACTCCTTGACCCTATATGAATACAGTGATTGAATTCGATCTTCAATTTAAAATATTTACACTAGTGGATACTACAAAATCTTATGTAATACTTAATGAAAGTATGAATAAACTCTTAGTATTAGTGAATCTATTGTTTCGATGGGATACTCATTCTACGAAACTAGTTTCAATGATCCAACCGACAAACATGTTTGTATATACTTTAAGATCGCATACGCCAAAAATTGAAAAAAACAAACATTCAGAGATAAAGTAATGGGACAAAACTTTTCGACGGTTATAAACAAAAAATCACGATTTAACGGTTATTTTAACTCCGATTTTGATGATTTTTTACAGCTACACTCCTTGACCCTATATGAATACAAAGAATGAATTCGATCTTCAATTTAAAATATTTACACTAGTGGATACCACACAATCTTATGTTATACTTAATGAAAGTATGAATAAACTAGTATTAGTTAATCTATTGTTTTGATGGGATACTCATTCTACAAAACTAGTTTCAATGATCCAATAGTCAAATATGTTTGTATATACTTCGAGATCGCATACGCCAAAAATTGTAAAAAATAAACATTCAGAGATCAAGGAACGGGACAAAACTTTTCGACGATTATAAAAAGAAAAATCACGATTTAACGGTCATTTTAACTCCGATTTTGATGATTTTTTGCAACTACACTCGTTGACCCTATATGAAAACAATGATTGAATTCGATCTTCAATTTAAAATATTTACACTAGTGGATACAAAAAAATCTTATGTTATATTTAATGAAAGTATGAATAAACTTTTTAAGTGTTAGTGAATCTATTGTTTTGATGAGATACACTCATTCTACGAAACTAGTTTCAACGATCCAACCGTTAAACATGTTTGTATATACTTCGAGATCACATACGCCAAAAATTGCAAAAAACAAACTTTCAGAGATCAAGTAACGAGACAAAACTTTTCGACGGTTATAAAAAGAAAAATCATGATTTAACGGTTATTTTAACTCCGATTTTGATGATTTTTTACAGCTACATTCCTTGACCCTATATGAATACAAAGAATGAATTCGATCTTCAATTTAAAATATTTACACTAGTGGACATCACAAAATCTTATGTTATACTTAATAAAAGTATGAATAAACTATAATAATTATATATATTAATTTAACAATTTTATACCCCTAAAAACTATAATAATTATATAATATAATTATATATATATATATTAAATTAAATTTAAAAAATTGATTACCATTGGATCGGCTGAGATCAAGCCAAAGTTTCAATACAATTTCATGATGATCGATGTAAATCGAGGATTTTGTAAATTGAGGTTTAAACTTTTGAGAAAGACTTCACAACCTTGAAAACAAAAACTTTTTCATTTTGCATATCCTTGCACATTTAATATTTGTAATAGATTAGTAGTGTATGTATTATTTTTTTTATTAGGCACTTATTTTCGAGTGTAGATGTAGTACTTAAACGACAAATGTGTTTCAATGTTAACGGGTATGACACGACACGACCCTTTAAGATAACAGGTATGACACGACACGACCCGTTAAGATAACAGGTGTTACACGAAAACAATATGAACTCGATAGACACGACCCGTTTGCCAGGCCTAACGTTGACACATTAATTGTGTCAAAAACATATGGTAACGACAAGTCGAGAGTTCTATTTTGAGAGAATCCTCGCTTGTTTGATTCAATATTTCTTAATCAACGGAAGGTTGAAACTTTAATCCGTGAACTTTTAAAACAAGATCACCAGCTTTCTCGATTAGAATGAAATTATTAGATACACAACATACATTACGGATTCTAATTTGTATTTTGATGTTGAAAAAGGTATACTCCTCCTTCGTTTTCTTAACAATCCAAATGCCCTTTCAGTTACATTCTTTGTAAGACCAAGATTATGGGCTTGTTTGTAAATAGTTCTAAAATGATTAAAAGCGTAACTAGATAAAATATTTTTCAGTTCCAAAAGAATGTTTCTTGCAAAAAACACCAGTTATGTACTTCTTTTAAGAAACACTAGTTATTTGGGATCATTGTACTACCACATTTGCTTTAACAATAGGCCACTAGCACTTAAATGAACTCTCCAATATGGAAATGTCTGTTCATCCGTTTGGTTCACCAGTGCGGCATTGGTGATGACAACTTCAACAGTTTCTTTGCTGCTAGGGTTTGTTGTTTTTTGGACTTTGTTTTTGTCTGAGCCTAATCTATGTTTTTGGGCCTTGTTTCGTTTCCCTGTATTTCATCTGTTTGTTTGAATGAAATGTTCATTTGACCAAAAAAAAAAAAAAGGGGGCACAAATGAAGAGAGGAGTTTCTGTCTCTCTAATAGAGTGGAATAAATAGGCAACACCTATTGTGCTTAGTATAAAAATGGACACAAATGTTGCCATAGAACAAAAAATTATGTCCATAAGGTCATCTGTCTAGTCCTCTGTCCAAAGGTGTTGTGCGACATTAATTAAGAAAATAGCACAATTTGGAAAGAAGTGGTCATTGAAAATTAATACATTGTAAACAAGGTTGCTTGATACATAACTAGTTTTTCTATGGAAGTTTTCAAACACGATTGCTCGATACATTTTGTTTCTTTTGCATTTGATTAAGTTTTGCATCATTAAGAATGGGGGATTGGCGACATCACGGAGTTAGGTTGAAACCGAATCTCAAGCATGACATTTGTTGATTGCTTCAAACGTTACAACAACAAATTCCACAACAAACTATCCAGTTTGACGTCTATGACAACCTATTAATGTTAGGTGCATACCTCCATTTTGTTGATAATCAGTACATGCAAAAAACGAATGACATGTATTCGATTAAATGATGATATGTAACAATTTGTCCCTAATTTTATGGTTTTTATAATTTTAATGGTGTGAATTGACATAAATGCCCCTTAAGGCGAGATTGTTAACTTTCGTTGATCGTCATTTTGTGATGCGTATGAACTATAATTTTACCGTATTCTCGAAGTACTCGATGGTACAAACGCATGGGCATTAGCGGATCCGAATTCGGAGCTACAATGAAGATTTTACGAAACATTCAATACCGAGGGTATTTTG